GTTGGCTATGTCTTTCCTCTTCGGTGACGCGCATCTGTTTGGAGATTAGTGTGTTGATATGACGTAAGCAGCCTCGGCATCACGCGACGCGTCTGACCAGCCCGCGGCTACCTGCTGCCATTCCTCACCACGCCTCCTCTCACCTTTAGTCAACATCATGAACCCCACGTAGACACTCGAACTTGATGCAGAACGCCGTGTCTAGAACAGTCTACCGGAAACAAGTTGCAAAGGCATGTGACCCGTGTCGCCGCCGCAAAACTAAGTGCAATGGCGCGCAACCTTGCGCAGGATGTTTATCGGCAAAACTAGCTTGCACCTTCAACGCACCACGGGGTCAAGGAGGTCGCACAGGTTCGAGGGCTAACGTACTCAACGAATTGAAAGCGATACCCCATAACGATGCCGACGTCTGCGACCCACAGGATGCTGCCCCGACCGCGGTCATTACCACCGCTGTGGAATTGACAAAGGAAGTCTTCAAAACGTTGGTCGACGTCTACGAGGAGCGCATATACAGGATAGTAGCTCTCATACCAGCCGAAAGACTGCGAGAAGAGTTCATGCAAATGCAGACTTCGCCGACATCTCGACAGTTCATATATGCCTTTTGCGCATACATGGCAAACTTTGCGGAAGCCTCCACTCATGCCAATTGCGGATCTACACAGTCTTCACAAACGGACTCACAAATCTACTACTTAGACCATACCTTGCTCTCGCTGCAGCGAGATAGGATTACGCAGCTTGATCATCGATCAGTTTATACCTCCTTCTTTCTATACGGAGCTTACGCTGGCCGAGGCGACTATCGTCAAGCATGGTTCTACTTGAGAGAAGCAACAACCTTGTTTATGATGCTTAAAGACGAGGACAGGGATTGGTTCGACATGAAGACAAGGACACGGCTGTTTCGGATTCTGGTAGTGTCAGAAAGGTACGCTGAATACTTCCCGTCTTTCTTACGTCTGTCCCCCCACTTCGATGCATCATGGTCCACCATATGCACTTCCGACTGTATGATATCATTTGTCTCTTTCTCGTCTATCCAATTCCACCTGCGAGCGAAGACAGCGACGATTCTCAGTACCCATGGGCATCGTGATGAGTGTATTGCTTACTAGTTGTTAGAGCGCATGGCGTTCGTAGGAATCGGCCCATCACACTATCTGTCACTTCCTCAAGCTACCCACTCGATGGGCATGATGATCTTGGCTTGCTCCACCTCGCATCAGTCTTCCGACCGCTCGATGAAGTCTTTTTCGCAGTGTGGAACGGTGCTGCGCAAAACTGCAGTAAAAAGTGGTTAATCCAGCTCGAGAACGATGTTCGCACCGCACTGCCCACTGATCTCGAACTTTCGAACGAAGAGATTGCAAATGTTCGCATATCGCAGTTCTGGCTACAGATCAAACTGTGGGAGCTGTTTCCCCGCTTCGGGTTTCTTTCCACAGAGTCTGTTTACGATTGCTTAACATTCAGATACCCCATTCTGGTCGGCAAAGACTTGACCATCCTCTCGATGAAGCTACCCGTTCAGAGTCTGCAGATACATGGCGTCGGCATGGTACGTCATTCAGCCGCAAGCTTGTCTCATTGCTAACAACCTTAGACGGAGAAGGTATTCGACATAGCCTGCGCTTTAGCGGATGTTCTTCATTTCGTGCCTCAGTCTGCATCACATGCCGAACTCATCCCCCCAGATTACTTGACCCAGTTGATGCTGTTGATAGCAAAGCTACCGGGCGGCTCGTCTAAGTTCATACCTTTGCTGCTAGCCAAAGTCAATGAACTACTTCCCGATCTGTTGGAGCACGTGTGCGAAGCGATCCAACTGCCAATCCCCACCAATCGCAACCCCATGAGCCCAGATACACGATTCATATATGAGGAAGAAGTTGGAAGAGGCCTTCACGCAGATTTGAGGAGAACACTGTAGCGGGAAGGAAGAAAGATGCATTCGAAGACTGCAATCAGGACGAGCCAGATGCGATCTCACAAACATATCTAAACATAGGACTTCGGAACGACCCCGAAGTACTAGTCCATCCACCAATCTACATAACGAGTACCGACCGGTCTGGACTACCCAGCGACCAGCGCCAGGACAGCCCACCGTCGACAACACTCGACCCCAAACGAAACAAAACAAGAAATCCTGACCATCCCAACGACCAGCGTCAAGATGGCCCACCGCCAACCAAAACCCCACCAGCATGGCGACCAGCGCTCATGCGAACCTCGGCCTCAGTGCCCGCCGGCGAGAGATCGCGCCCTCGATGTCGCCATCGATCACCGTCTCCAGCCCACCACCAGGGCCACACACGAAGATGAGCTCGCTGCTCAGGCGATTGTATCTTGTGTCCCTCTTGGACACCACTGTGGCCTCTGGCTGCTTGCACATCCAGGGAGGTCGCTCGCCAGGGTGATCCCTCATGTATGCGAAGGCCCGCTCCAGTTTCGTCGTCTGACTCTCACGAGTGAACCAGCGGACAAGCGGAACGGCAACGGCGAGGAAAACGGCGACGAAGGACCAGAAGAGCGCGGTGCGGAGGTATTGCCAAACGAGATCGATCTCGTATGCCTTTCGGCGGCGGAGGGTTTCGTGCCAGTCTGTGAAGCCAGACCCAGGCACGTCTGGGTCGAAGCGGCATCGGTCGAAGAAGAGGTCGAGGAGGCGGCCGAAGGTGTTTTCCCAAAATGGGTCGTTTAGGCCCGCCAGCAGGCCAAACGACACCATCATGTAGGTGTTGTGGGCTTGTCGGAAGGAGATCGACAAAGAGAGTCGGTGGATGAGGACGTGGCCTAGGGCCCAAGAGAAGAGGGTGCCGATGGCGATGCGTAGCTCATTTGAGCTCGCGGCGAAGACGGTGATGAGCACCAGGCTCAGGAAGATGCGCAGCTTGTTCTGCGGGGACAGCATTGTTGCTGTTGTGGTGGTGATGATGATGATGGTGATGGTGGGAAGAGGGAACTTGGAAACGTCTTGAAAATGAGCAGGTGTGGTATTTGCTAAAGAGCAAAAGTCGGAGGCGGATGGGCTGTTTATATAGTACTGGCTTCTGCGCGAAGATGAGACGGTTGACAATAGCTACTATTGTTACAATAGGTACGTTGCCGTCTTCACTTCTATTTTCTACAATACCGACTGAACAATAGCGAACTCATGAAAACATCGCCTTCACCCCGGAACGCCAACAAAGATTTCAATAACAATAAGCTGACAAAAGACAGAGATCCAGATGTAACTCGCCTTCACCTCCACCTCAGCGTCACGTAGACCCCAGTAACACACGTGTACGCTGCCCACATCAAGACGCGCACCCACGTATACCTCAGCCCTCACTATCTCCCCCACCATCCTTCAAACCTCACCGTATACCCCACCCCCTCCCCTAATAATCACTATACCTCCTCTTCGACACCGCACTCACCCTCGACACCCTTCTACTCGCCCCATCAAGCCCCTCCCCCTCAACAAACAACCGATTATGCACTATCCAGTCCTCAAACTCCTGCTCCCTTCTCTCCTCATCCGGATCAATCCAGTCACCCATCTCACTTCCTTCCATAGTAGTAGTAGTAGTATCGCTCATCCTGTTCACGGCTCCATCGCGAGAGTGTGAGACCGAGGAACTGGATTGCTCGCTGCGCCAGTGGTGCGGGAGGGGGCTTCGGCCACGTCCGTCGTCGTTGGCGGCGTCGATGGCGCTGGGATCGAGACGTTGGATTTGGGACTTTTTGTATTCGTGCGCTGTTTCTGCGAGGGTCTTGGCACTGACACCGGTGCTGTTGTTGTTGTTGTTGTTGTTGTTGGTCTTCCAGTTCCGAGGCAGCGTGTAGGAGAAGGCTGAGCGTATGCCGCTTGGCTTGCGGCGGAGGGAGCCGCCTACGCGGCTGAGCCAGGTTTTTGGGCTGGTGTCTTGGTTTTGGGTCGAGGCTGCGTCGGCGGGTGGGGGTGTGGCGAAGGGGGATTTATGGGGTAGTTCTTCGTCGCTGGGACGTTGCATTAAGTGGCAGGTGTGGTCGATGAGTGCGGGTTCTACGCCGTTGGGGAGCTGTTCGTAGGTGGACATGCCGATGCTTACGCCGCGTTTGCGGCGGAGTGAGAAGAATCGAGTAGGTCCTGTGAAGGGGAGGTGCTGGGCCGGCGTAGGTGTCGTGGGCTCAACTTGTGACTGGTTGGTGTCGGCTTGGAGGTCTTCGTTCCGTTGTGCGGTCTGACGGATCGCCTTTTTCTTGTCTTTGCGTTCTTGGTGGCGCTTTCGAATCTATGGTGGTGTTAGTATGTGGCTTTCTTGGACAGCGGTGCGAGCGCGTGATTCGACAGTGTACGGCACATATATGCGACAGGTATCTTATTAATGGCGGCTATTCGAATGCATTACTCACCGTAGTGATCAAACCCATCTTAGGCATACTGGGCAAACGCCTCACGAAGTCCTTGTCGTTGAAGATCAAAGATGAGGTTGCAAATGAGAACGACGGACGTTACTGAGTACAGCTGTCAAGTGCAACGTCAATATGTCCACCAATGGCTTGTGAAGTTTGGTACCGTGAGTGGGGATGCCGTCAACCAGAGGATGTGGTTGTTCGAGGGTCCATGAACATGTCATGGTGGCCGCCTCAACACATCATGAGCACGGTGCAGAAGTATTTTCGACGTTATCATTACTCGTGGTATCAAGATCTAGTTTGATGGTGATCGTGTGACTATTTGCAGAGTCTTCACATCAAAGCGTCTTAGTACGTCTTTCGCCCATAGTGCACTTTCAAAATTCATCAAACTCGAATGCAAACTCGCTGTCAGGTGTGCACTCTTTATTCTATGCGGCTATTGTCATCTATATACCACCCAAGCAGGGAAGGGCTTCCACGGACATTCTCTGACAGTCAGGAACGGATGCAAGAGCTAGGACGGACAGCGGGTGAGGATGGAGCTTGCGTACCACTATCCAACCAGAACGAACGGCGAAGTATATGCGACTTTTTTAAGCGGCCTAGGCTTCGTGAAGTGATTGTCCGTCGACCTCATCGTCGTCGCGTACGGTTGCAAGATCGATTTTCGCAGCATCAGCAATGCGGGAAAGAGCCGCCATTTCCAACTGCAAATTAGACAGTATCCACTCATGATCACGCTCGATCTGTTCATAAGTACGTGCTTTCCTCTCTCTGAGTTCTCTCGCTGCGTGTCTGTGGAAAGTGAAAACCTTGTCGAGGAAACCACACTCTCTCGCGATGAGAGCCTCGTGTGGTGAGCCGTCCACCATGTCTGTCAGATTGTTGTGAAGAGTTGCCCTCTGGTCACACGCGTCATCGTGAACCCTAGCATGGGTAAGCAGGAAGTCCAGAACTCCCTGCTGAGCTTTGAATGCTTGGGCCGTTCGGTGGAGTGTCAGACGCTTCCTTGTGGTTTCGTGGTCGATATGTCTCTCGCAGGTCTGGATGGCGTCTTCGATGGTTTTCGCGAGCTTGGTTTCGTCTTCTGTCGTGAAATCTGTTGCTGCTTCGCTCGAACCTTCCTAAGTCTAACGTCAGTTCGAGGGTCGCAGAGAAACTCAAGACAATGGCACTCACCAGTGACAGCTTCTCCGTCAGCTCACTAAGGCCATCGTTGCGGCTCAAACACTCGCTGATCATTTTGTCGACAACACTGTTGAGCCCTTCCTTCATGTTCTGAAGCACGTCCAGCTCGACAGTGTTACCTTGTTTCAGGCCCTCGATGATGGCGTCCGACGACATGGTGAGGTGGCGCAATTGTCGCAGGTGTCACCGCAATATTGATCTCGGTTGGTGTTGTGGTCGTGTTGTGTTGGTCGGAGTCAGAGAGCCTTCCAGAAATAGCAGGAGCGACTAGCGCGAAACCACCAGGCCAGCGGTGAAGGTGAGCGTGGAAACAAACACTCGCAATTTCTGATTCACTCCACATGAGCCGGTTATTGCAGTCTCCAGTTGTCAGTTTCCGCAATGCGATACTGCCAGGATATGCGCAGCTCAGGCTTCCAGATCCTCAAGGACTAGAGTGAGTCTGCGACACGCAGCAGTAGCACTGACATGTTACCTGAGTATCTGGACTTCTCGGGCTCTAAAAACTTCTGCGTAGCATCTAGCGGCTCTCTATTGCTTTCTTGATAACATTGTGTTGTTCTTTTGCCGTGTATCGTACTTGCTTCCACTGCGGTGTTTGCGTATCGTGTTGCGCTTTTGACATCCCTGGAAGTTGCTTGAGCTCTTTCGCCACCTTCTTTCCTGATATCGGCGCGAGTTTGCCCGCCAGCCATGACGAGTTCTTGTACCCGGTAAGCCATATCTGTGCTGGCTAAACCGAGAGTCATCTGAGTTCCATGATACCCTGTCACAGTGCATTTTCTTGGTGCTTGAACCTCGTCTGCTGCAAGCGCATTGTATCACCTTAATTCTGCACCCTGAAGTATCGGCGCTCACGCGGAGGAAGGTTTGAGGGCTGAAGTAGCTTAATTAAGCAGTAGCCCTAGGGAAGCCGGACAACCCCCATCAATCATCTCCATCCTCCTCCACATCAAGCTCAACACCAGAAAGCCTAGCCATGACCTGAAGGCCTCGCAGCAGCTCAACCAGCGCCTCATACTCCTGCACATGTACCTCTTCAGCCTTCTTGATCTTGTCAGCCCGCCTAAGTTCGATAGCCGTCCTCTCAGTTTTAACCGCGTCGAAGAACTCTGAGATGAGAATGCACTCTTGATGGTCTTCCTTGCGAAGTGCGTTGTGGATCGGAGCGACAGCTCGACGGAAGCGCTTGTGAACTCTGGTACGTTTGCGTAGGATGTGCTCGTGTCCCTTGATTTGTTCGCGCCGTTCGCCTAGTGACTTGATTTCTGCTGCGTGGGATTCGTCGGCTTCTTCGATGTTTTCTTCCCATTTGATACGGCTGATCTTCATGAGATCTTTGATGACGCGTCTGTTGGCTTTCATGGCTGTTGCGAGTTTTGACTCCGGTTCTGCCGCTACCGTTTCGATCGGTTCCGGGTCATCCTAGAATGCAAATGTCAGTCTCGAGCTTATGCTGAGTTGAGAGATAGCATAGAAGTTGTACCTCCTCTTCGAGCTCGCTCTGTTTCTCGTCGTCCTTGCCGTACTCGCTCTCAGCAGCTGGACCAGCATCTTCAGATCCTTCGTAGTCATAGCCAGCCTCGTAGTCTGACCAGCTCTGATGGTCATAGTCGCTCAGCTCACCGCCATCGCTGTCGCTCCAGTTTCGAGTGCCGGCGTCAGTCGAGCGGTACGACATTTTGGGTTCTCGTTGCGCGAGTGCACAATGTCGTGTTGTCGTGCCAGGCCGTGGTATAAGGTGCGGAGAGCGCAGTGCCAGCAGAAGCTCCTAGGCCGCGCGGCACCCGTTATCGTGAGATGCGGATTCATCGATGAAAGTGAAGACGATAACTAGCACCCTCATCGTTTGCGGCATAGCCAGTGCGCAGCCGCTCGTACCTTTGCCATGCTCTTTCTCGTGGTAGACTCCGTGCCGGCGCGTGCCCATCTGAGTAAATCATCGTGAATCTTGCTCGTAGAGAGCACATGCGCAGCTCAATCTGAGCGGCATACCAGCTTTAGCGCAGTTGCGCAACTGCGCAGGCATTGTCACCTCTTTCTGTTAGAAATCTCAAGCTGCAGCAGTGCATCTCGCTGAAGTAGATCGTTGAACAAGCGAGTAGACCATAGAAAGGAAAGAAAGAACTAGAGTGAGACTTTGGTAATGAAGTAAACATGAAAAAACTGAAGCAGGCATACTGCACTCCCAGCTTCGAGGTGAGAGAACCTGAGATGCTCACCTACAAAGAAAAGCGGTGACTTAGCAACACCGCAACCCACAAAGATAGCATGTGACAAAGAGAAAGCTGAGCGATCAAGCCGACATCGAGATAAGAGCGACCTGTCCACATCAGTCGAAGACCTATCATCCACTCACCTCACCCACGCCACAAGAAAAGCCACGCAGGACTTCGTGTTATCAAAGTCGTTAGATGGAGTTGCAATAGGAATACTCGTACATGCAATCGAAAATGCTCTAACCCAGCACCTACGTGTGTCTACCTTCAGCCGAAAATGGTCATAGTCTGATCATACAAAACCCCGGTTCCTTCGCCAAACCTGAATCCACAAGAACGCTAGAATGGCTACCGCACTACCCGCTTCCGTTCATACTCCAATCTATACCCTGAGGAGTTTAGCAGCATAGTCGACAATCAAGCTCTCACTGGGGAAGCTCATCTCCTCAAGCTTCTGGGCATATGGCGTGGGCACCTCAGCACCAGTGACGCGGGCAGGGGGCGCCTCCAAGTAGTCGAAGGCGTATTCGCAAGTAAGCGCCATAATCTCAGACGCGACACCGAAGGATGGGAAGCCAGACTCTACGCAGAGCATGTGGCCGGTCTTCTTGACGGACTTGACAATGGCCTCGACGTCGAGGGGCTTGATGGAGCGCAGGTTGATGACTTCGGCTTCGACGCCGTACTTGGACTTGAGTTGTTCGGCGGCGACGAGGGATTGGCCGACGCAGCGGGAGAGGGTGACGATGGTGAGGTCCTTGCCGGGGCGCTCGATCTTGGCCTTTCCGAACTGGGGGTGTGTTAGTATGAAGATAGAGTGGGATGATGGTGGGGTATCTTACGGGAATGACGAAGTCGTCTCTCTGGGCCTCCTCGCTCATAGGGAAGGAAAGACCGTACAGAAGTCTGTGGATGTTAGTACACGGTCTCTCGTCTTGCGTCTATTGTGACCTACTCGTTCTCGAGAACCACGACCGGGTTGGGGTCGCGGATAGCAGCCTTCAACAGACCCTTGGCATCCTCGGCGCTGTATGGCGAGACGACCTTCAATCCAGGAATGCTTCCGTACCACGCAGTGTAATCTTGGGAATGCTGAGCAGCGACACCGGACGCGAAACCGTTGGGACCACGGAAGGTGATGTTGCAGGGCTGGATACCACCGGACATGTAGTGGGTCTTTGCGGCGGAGTTGATAATCTGGTCAATGGCCTGCATGGCGAAGTTGAAGGTCATGAACTCGCACTGTCGTCGCTGTCAGATTTGCTTTTTGGGCCATGATGGCTGAGGAACTCACAATGGGGTGGAGACCAGCGAGCGCAGCACCGACGGTCAGACCGGCGAAACCTGACTCTGTGATGGGAGAGTCGATGACCCTCTTCTCACCGAAGCGGTCGAGCAGGCCCTTTGTGACCTTGTAGCTGTGGCTCAGTCAGCACCGTCCATTGATATTCCGTTGTGCATAGCCTGCGATGTATTCTCTGCCCAATTGGAGCCTCCTCTTTCTTATCGCAGATATGACATCTCTCTGCTTCATGGTGGGACGTACGCTCCGTTGTATTGCGCGACTTCCTCTCCGAGCACGAAAACCTTGTCGTTGCGCTCCATCTCCTCGGCCATGGCCTCGTTGAGCGCCTCTCGCACCGTCATCTCCTTCTGGCCCGACGCATATCCTCTCCTCGCAATTGACGGTGTAATGGCTGCGGCGCGGAAAGCTGGTCGGAAGGCGGGCGCTGGCCGCGACGCCGAGACGAGGCGGGAGGTGGGTCGGAGGAGCCTTGAAGCAGCCATTGTGGGGTGTGTGTGAGGGTGAAGGTGTGGTGAGGAAGTGCCGTGGGCGAGTGATGGCCGCTGAGGCTTGTGGTGGTTGCTGGGGCTTGCTGGACAATTTCTTGATGCGAAGATCCGAGTCGTTGGGGCCGGCGCTAGCGATCAAAGCTCTCGAGCAGGGACCACACTATAGCGAGAACACCCGACATGCGTCTGGATGGTCCCTGGATGGTCCGCCTCAACAACGTCGCTTTCACCACAGTCAGCCCTTACACGGAGCATCTACTGAATAGTCATGCAACAGTCGCTTGCATATTGGACGATGTTGATCAAAACATTCAGATGAGGATTACTTCTTCTATTCTCTATAGCACCACATTTCGCGTTACCATGACCGTCCCTAGACCGTGCCCTACTTCCAAATATTACAGTATATATGCGCGTCTCCAATGCGCGTGATGCAAATGCCAGGAGATGATGCTCCTATATCGAAGGAATAGCTCGCAGACCAACAAGGTCCTAGATGCGAAGAGAAGTCTAATGCAAAGGGCGAGAATTGAAAACTTATGCGTCGGCGGGTTTCCTTCCGACCATGAGGTACATGGGTGTGAAGAGCTTCTCCCTGCCACCGGCAACAAGGCAGTCGGCTGCGAGGGCAAGACTGTCGGCAGTCTTCTGGGTACCCTTGGGGGCGAGACCGATCACCTCAAGACCACCGACGAACTTGTGGATGAGGCCACGTCCGACCTTGGTCATGCGAAGAATGGTGGGGATGTCGCCAATGGTGCTGATGTACTTCAGCTGGCCAGAAAGCGGCCAGTACCATGGGTAAGGGTCGTCCCTGTCTGCCAGATCCTCGTTGTGCTCCATCACGAAGCCAGCCTTCTTCATAGCATCGAGCGCAACCTCAATCTTCTCCATGTTGGAGATACCGTCACCAATCTCAATTCCAAGACGGATCTCGCGGTGGTGGGGGTTGTCATTGTCGTACTTGTCGGTCATAAGCCACTCGTAGACACCGAAGACACCGCCGGGCTTGAGAACACGGAAGATCTCGCTGTAGATGCCCTCGAGCGATGGTGCGTGGACAGTGGCCTCGATGGCGTAGACGGCATCGAAAGAGTTGTCGGGGAAAGACATTTGCTACCACGGGTTAGTGAGGGTACTCAGGGTGTGGAAGTATATCGTACCATGAAGTCACCCTTGGTGAACTTGAGCTTGTCTGATAGACCCTCCTTCTCGGCGTAGGCAGTGGCACGCTCGATCTGGTAGTCGTTGTTGTTCAATCCAACGACGTTGACACCAGCGAACTTGACAATCTCACGGGCGGGACCACCGACACCGCAGCCAACATCCAAGACGCGCATGTTGTCCTGGAGGTTCATCTTGTGGGCAAGGTAGTGCTCGTGGCGGGCAATGGCCTTGTAGAAAGACTCGCCATAGGCGTAGCGGGCGAAGTGGAAAGATTGTCCCCAGCCGTACTCGTAAAGGTCGGTTGCGAGGTTGTAGTAGTGTCTTGTGAGGGTAGCGTATTCATCTCGTCGTTCCTGGGTCTGTTAGTAAACACGGTATGCAACAATGCCACATATGCATACCTTGCGGGTCTCCTCAGTCTCGTCGCCAGCGGCCTTGTTGTCCCAATGCTTGAAGTACTCGTCGACAGCGGCTTGCTGGGCAGCCTTGTCCTTTTGCAACATGGCAGTCATACCACCGCGAGCCTTTGCAGACTTGCCGTGCATGGCCTTGTTGAACTCGGCATCGCGAGAATGGTCTTCCTTTTCGAGCGCAATGGGAGACATGATGGATATTAAGAGTGATATGGGGTTATGCGGGGAGTGAAGTGAATGAAACGGATAGTAGAATAAACAATTCGAAGAGGACAGGACCCTGAAACTTTATAAAGACGACCCCGGAGAGGAAAGAGCGGTATGGGTAGGAGATTGGGACTTGAATTTCTTAGGGGGTAACTGGCGTCGCCCAATCACGACCGACTCTGTACGCGGCCCTGGTCAACAGCGCTAGCGGTCGGTCCTCGCCACCCGAGCGCGTGAAAGCCAAGACCGTAAGAGGCGTATAGCGTAGTGCCTAGATTTCTACCGTCACTCCCATACCATCTGTCGCAACAACCACCGCGCCCCACTACGCGTACTCGACGTCCCCAGATTCGCTCGGCGAAGTCGCGAGATTACATTCAAAACTCAGCCACTGTCGCACACCCTACACAGCAGGCCTCACCATGCCGCCGCAAATCAAGAGCGACCTGAACCGTACGTCATGTCTTTTTCCACTGCGCGTAGCATGCACTAACTTTTGTAGGATCGGGGTGGGAAACTACTGACTTTCCGTCCGTCTGCGAGAAGTGCCTGCCGGATAGCACATATGTGCAGATGCTGAAGGAGGACTACGGCGCAGAGTGCAAGATCTGCACGCGACCCTTCACCATCTTCCGCTGGAAGGCCGACCGTACCGCGCGACAAAAGCGAACCAACATCTGCCTCACATGCGCCCGCCTCAAAAACTGCTGCCAGCACTGCATGCTCGATCTGTCCTTCGGTCTGCCCATCGTAGTCCGTGATGCTGCGCTGAAGATGGTGGCGCCCGGCCCACAGAGCGATATCAACCGACAGTACTATGCGCAGGAGCACGAGAGAGAGATCGAGGAGGGACGTGGAGCGATGGAGGCATACGAGAAGAC